GTCCACTCATCTTAAAGTGGCCAAGTTTGGACAACACTGATCTATCTATCTATCTATCTATCTATCTATCTATCTATCTATCTATCTATCTATCTATCTATCTATCTATCATACTACCATTTGCACTAGCAATCAAAATAGGCTCATAGATGCAGTGAGCAGTCCCCAACAGTACTGTCCCAAGGCCAATAATTTCTATCATTTTCAGCTCTTTAAAATCTGTATTCAAAAGAGACAATAGATATAAAGCAGAGGAGCACTTGAACAGATAAAATTAGAAATAGTAACTTGCCAGAAAATTTTTAAAAGTAGAGTATAATAGAACAATGTTTAAAGGAATATGTTCACTTCCCTGACATTTTTTTTCAATTTATTCTTTTTTCTCTAGGCAAGTTCAACAAAGGAAGGGAAAAATAAATGTAGGGGTACAAATATTTGGGGTTTCTTATTTCAAAGTTTGTGACAAAAATGATGCAGGAGACAGGTTTTTAAATATATTTTGCAATACATTCTATGTAACAGAACAATATTTGATCTCCAGTGCAAATTTGTGATCTTTGATGGAAATATTTTTCTGTTTTTATTTAACAATGCTCCATTGTAAAAATAAATTATATTAATTAAAATGTCATCTCAATCTTTGTATGTGTTACCTCACAGGACAAATAGTAGCTCTAGAAAGGCAGTGCCCAACCAAGCCAAAATTGTACCACCCCATGTTTTGTTTTCTTCCCAATAAAGGGCGAGCTCAGCCAGTTTGGTTAAAAGTGCAAAGGTTATTTAGCAGCAAGATCTTTGTTCCCAATCCTCATGTTGTGCAAATTCTATGGTTATACCCTCTCAGTGGTTTGATTGCATGGTGGTGGCTCCCCGCTTGACCTTTTTGACTTCCCCTCAGACATTGCTGTATACTCGATACTCTCCCAAAAAGTAGGCTATAGATCCAGCAGTTAGTTCCTTGGTTCCTTATTCAGCTACTAGAAATTAAGGAGGAGGGAGTATTTAAATCAGAACGAATGACAGTATCCTTGTCTTTATTGTTGCTAATAATTTTGTTGTAATGGAGCAAATTGATGCCTGCCTATTTATACCAATCGTTCTGGCTTACCTGCAAAGGGAAAGCAATTATTTTGGTCTGGTCGAAGAAAAGAAAGGGAAAAATTGTCTAATGAAACAATGGATAAGGAAATAGTTGGGTCTACTGTTCTGGATTCAATAGAGCTGCTTAGGCAGGGAAATTAAAAGATGTAAACTAGAGGCGGATCCATTTTTGCTGATGTCACCAGCAAGGTCATTCAATAATGCAGACCGTGGCCTTAAGAGTGAGAGGAGAGCTAAAGTGGAGATCGCTCATCTTTTTCCAAGAGATCAAAGACTTTGGGCCTGGACATTGCAGGAAGAACTGAGGTAAGTAAAGATAAGGATGTTGAAGCCTCGGATGACAATCCTATACACATTTATCTGGGAGTAAATCCATTAAAGACAACATGGTTGCAAATTATGCTAGACAATTATGTATATTTATTCAAAAGTTTGTTGTCTTGAATTAAATGGGATTCTACAGAAAATGTTCATTTGTTTTGGCTTCACAGTAATATTTTAGATAGATTGCTCTGCAATCATGTACTTCCCAGCCCTCAAATGCATCTTTACCAACTGGAAAATTTTTGAAAGTGTAGGGCTAGGATTGTTGTTTCAGGCTGCAGACAGATTGTAGTTTTTAAAATAGTGTTGCTGTTACTGTTTAAGAGGGAAAAGCATTGAAGTAGAAGTACTTTATGGAGAATGTGTTTATTCACATCTGCACATTTGTCTTCCTTTAGCCAAGCGAGGTTAGTTGGATTTGAAAAACATACATAACCTGTTCATTAGTGGTGGGGTTGGAATGAAAGTTTGTATGCTGAGTAATGATCCTACTCTTTTAAATCACATTTAATTCACTCCTTCTCTCTCTGTCTGCATGTATACATCTCTCCAAAATAGCCAGTTATAAACTTTTTCTGCTCTGCAAGTTTTAAAACTGGTCTCAAGCCTTTTTTCTCCAAAAACATTCTTTGATTGTCACTGCTCAGCCAAACTTCAAAGAATGGGGAATCTTGGCAAAGTACAAAATGGAGAGGCTGTCTAGAAATGCTGACTTCTCAGCTGAACCCTGGCTTCTTTCCAGATGTGCACATGCCAGGCTTCCTACTCACTATCTCAAGTCTTTTCTGATCCACAGCTGCATTCTGTCCTTTAGAGCAGAGAGGACAATGATAAATTACAGGAGATTGATGGAGAGCAAGAGAGTGGCAGCTCTTGATCCACAATGATATGTTAGTGCCATGCCAGTCAGCATAAGGTTCTTGCTCTGTAAATGCATTAAAAAAAAACAAAAACCTATTATGTTATATTTGTGAGTAACCATCTATTTTTGCCATGCAATGGGATTTCTGTTTAGGGAAAGACTGTTAACTATGGAATATAAATTAGACTTAAATCAAGGACTGTAACTACAATAATTAGGAATAATTAAAAATGGTAAATCTGTGGGGGTGCAGGGCAGAGGTGACATGTTTGTGTGACTGGGCAGTTGAAGCCAACAGAAAATGAACCAATTGTCTAACAGATTGACAGTGGAATTTAGCCAGAAGATTGGAAGCCCAAGTTTAATTTTATATTCAGTTCACACACAGACACACAAACATGCTTGCACCATGCACACAGAGCTTCCTACAAATGACTCTGATCCGTATCAAACCTGGGACTGAGGTAACATTATTTTTCTTTCAAACATTACTTTGGATGTACTCTGCTTGCTTTTTCCTCTATAACTACGGTGACCATATTTTCTTGGAAAAAATAAAGGACAAACCTGAAAAAGGAGCAAATCTGAAAGAGGTTCATAAGGATAAAAACAATTAATTGTTTATGTTTATAACTTTGCTTTACAAAAAAACTTCAAGAGCAAAACCAAGAAAAACTTTACAAAAACACATATTCTAATAAAAATATCTAAAATCAAACAGTATATGTAAATTGATTTTAAAAAGACAATTCCGTTTCTGTATTTTTCACACAAATGTGAAAGACTCTGCATTAAGTGGTACCATTTGTACGTAAAAGTTAAATGACCAAAATAAAGGACAAAAGCGAGGTTTTGAAAAACAAATACATCTAAAGGAGAGCTTTCTGAAATAAAGGACTGTCCTTTATAATGAAGGACGTGTGGTCATTGTATCTATAAACCCATTCCAAACCTCGCCTGAAGTCTATACCAATGTTGTTATCAAAATTAATTTTTGTGGGCAGACTTCAGTTCTAATGCAGTTGTGGAATATTTCAAAATGGTCACGCTTTCAAATAATGATGTTTATCAAATTCATTACTATCTCCCTCCTACATATAGGACAAGATTGGACCCAGCTGAACTACTTGGCTGAGTAATTTTCCCAATTAATTCGGGGAGGACAGCTAAACATAGTAAATCCTTTTTCTCTTTCTCTGTGTGTCTAGAGAGAGAGAGAGAGAGAATGATGCTTCTGCAAAACGATAAATTATTATATAAATAGAGATGAATGATTAAGCATAATAAAGCCTTGATTGGAAAACTAAAGATGTAAGCCAAAATAGGTTTTGTGGAGTGGTTTGATACTAATACTACCAAAGCTTCTATTTGTCTTCAGAAATAATACACACACTTACCTGTATATCTAAGATGGTTTTATTGTATCTGCTGCATTATCTCTTTCTAAAATTTACTGTTTCTCCTATTTATACTTGTTTTTTTCCACAGTGCTTTCAGGTATTCCGTGGGTTGCATATGCACTACCTTGTTAGCATTTTAATAATAGCCCTGAAATGTACTGGGTATTATTCTGTTGTCCATTCCAGATAGCCAGGCATTTAGGGCAAAATTCATACAAAGGACATCCTGATTTATAGGGCTGCTGCTGCTGCTGCTGCTACTCTTCCTCCTGGTGTCCACAGGATGTTTGGGCCCACAATTTCTGTAGTTGTGTATTAATTTTATGGTACATCCTGCTTTTCTACTTGTTGGGCATTTTGTTTTATAGTCCTAGGACTATTCTATTGTATTTAAGCATGCTCAGTATTGTATATTTTAAAACCTAATAGGGGAGAGCTTTTCCATTAGGGTCATACAGAGATCCAGATTCAAAAAGGCAAAAATGGTTTGTAGCATATAGGGGTGCTCACATGTCATTTCTCAACAACTCTTTAAAGAAGCAGCACCTTTTCCTGGGTTCTGATGACAACCATGTTCGATTTAAAGGGCTACACA